CAGCCACTCACCTCAACCTCCCAAAGGCGCGGGATTACAGGCTGAGCCACCGAGCCCGGCTTACTTGCAGTATTTTAAAATACTTTTAACTTTGTCTCCTCATGCCTTTTACTCCTTAACCAAATGTTTACTTTCTTCTTTTCCCCTATAACTTTTACTTTTTAAGCTTAATGTTGCCAATTTAAATAAAAAGATATCATGCAAAAAATAAGGGACAAAAATTCCCATAAAATAGTTGATTCTTTATATCCACAACTATATTGTGTTTCTTTCCAAATAGAGAGTTTGTATAAAAGCACACTTTAAATATAATACAATCTACTTTTACCTTTTTGACCAGATTCTTCATTTTGCTGATGGAGAAAGGCATGCAAATGTTGAAATCATGATTCTTGATGATGACATTCCAGAAGGAGATGAAAAATTTCAGTTAATTTTAACAAATCCTTCTCCTGGACTAGAGCTGGGGGAAAAAACAATAGGTAATTGGTTATTTCTCATACCCAGCTTCCTCCCCTTCATGCTGGCTTCCCTAATAGGGGACAATATTTAGAGAATCTTGGTAGTTTTTTGTGTTTAGAATGAAGAACATTTTAGGTTAAAAAAATTCAAAATTCCTTTATCAGTGTAGCAGTGCCTCTAGCTTGTGTGTGTTAGTATATGTGTGTATGTAAAAACAAATAAGTAGACTGTCCTAAAGGTGGTATTAAATGATTTCCTCGGTGATTGTAGGTTTTATTTAATTTGTAGATGTCTTATCATCCTTTTCACTTCTTATTAAGTATCATGCTGACCGCTTAGAGAAGGTAAGAAAGTGACAACAGAGAAAACCTAGGAACATGCAAAACTTCAGGGTTGGAAAGATTCTTTGTGGATTTTGGGAACTGAATGTAGACTGACTCTTTAAACTCCTGTTTTAGCCAGTGGTTTAGTGTTCTTTGGGATTTTTAATTTAATTAACCTTTGTATTCCTAATTTATTGACCTTTATGGCAAAAATATAATTAATAGTAAAAATTAGGAAATAATTTTGAGTAACCCGAGGGCTGGTTTTTACTTTTATTGTTATATTGGTACTTTTAAGTCCTCAGAAGCCTTTTTTTTTTTTTTTTTTTGAGGCTGTGGTCGTCGTTTCAGATTCAAAAAGTATATATTTGTGATGAAATCATTTTCTTGTAAAGCATAGTAGGTTGTATGAAAAGGGCTGTATGAGTGGACACCATGTGCTGGTTAAGAATTGTCTATGTATAAATAACAGAAAACTCAATTCAAACAATTGAGACAAAGGCAATTTATTGGTCCACTTAATCTGAGGGTCTAGAGATAGATGACTTTAGATGAGGAAGGACCAGGACTTAATGCTGGCAGAGACTGTGATTTTCTGTCTCTTCTTCTTTGGGAATATGAGCTTCATCACAAGGCAGATGTTACTAATGTCATCATAAAGTGGTGGTCACGATTGTTCCTCAGCATTTCACACAACAGGAAGGAGAGAATATACAAAATGAAGCATTTCTAAAAGGTCCTGATATAACTATGATTAGAATTACATAGACTGCTGCCCACCACCTTGAGAAGGAGGAAGGAATGTATTATTGGGCTCTGTCAGACTTATACTTGTAATTTTCTATTTTTTAAAAATAAATTCCTCAGGACAATAAATACTTTGATCGGAGATAACTTCTTAAGCTCAGGCCTTATTAATTCACCTTAAGACTATTTCCAAACTTTCACAAAGTTTTAACAGCCACCCTTGTGTATAAGTCTTTGTATACATGGGAAATGAGATGATCTGTTGAGCATAGTGTTAAGAGGAAAGGACATCCCGCCAACTGCCTTCCACGGAATCTACGCTCCAAAGTACACGAGGGGGACTAAAAAAACCCCTAGAATTTATTTATAAAAATGTGTATTTCTTATATGTTTACACTTTAGTCATCCTCAAAGTCCTCTCCATTTGTGTAACACACCTATTGAGATGCTTTTCCCCCTGCTCAAAACAGTTTTTGAACTCATCATTTTAGTGATTCTAAATGATCCTTTAGAATCCTTTTAGTGCTTCTGCTGTTTCTGTTTCACCTCTTTCACAGCCTCAAAAACAGTTCCTTTTGAGGACTTTTTAAATGGGGAAACAAACAAACAAAAAAAGTCACTCTTAGGGGTGAGATTGGATGAATTGGGAGAGTGGGGCAAGAGCTCATGCCATTTTTGTTAAAAAAAAAAATTCTGAACACTCAGTGCAGTGTGGTCAGATGTGCTTCTAAATCACCCATCGCGAAATGGTCAAATGTGTTGAAAGAGTCTCCGGAAAAAACTCATGGAGGCCGAACACTACCGCTCCTAACAACACCAGCTGATACACTGATGCTGATGGGTTCCTAGAACACTAACCTAGCAGAGGAGGCCTGTACTATCAACGGGCCTGCCCGCCAAAAGATAATTCCGTTTTTTGCATTCCCCTTTGTATATACAGCTCTTGTTTCTCCAAATATTCACTAGTGATTTACTTAGTCTTTTTAAGTTTTTTATACCAATGCTAATGAATGGAAAATATGTGATTGTATTCTGCATTATTATGCATCTTTTTCTTCATTTTCCTGTTTATTAGTGAGTTTGACACTAGTTATTTTTTCTTTTCTACATGTGATTCTGTTTTTTATAGCCCTTAATCACTTTCCTGTGGATTGTGCTTCTATTGGTTTGTAGGAATATCCGAATTCAATCTTTTGCTTCTTAATTATATTGAAGCTGTTTTTCTTAGTCTGTCATTTATCTTTTATGTTTATTATGGTGCCCTTTTTTTGTTTTTTGAAAGCAGGATTTATTGGGAAGACAGAAAAACTCCCACAGTGGTCGGGGACCTGAGGGGGTTGCCATATTATGGTGGTCTTTTATTATAAAACTTTAAAAAATTTAATATAAAATATTTCCTGTTGTGTTTTTACATCCTATTTATTTAGGTCTTTTCCACCCACCTACTATAAAATATTTTGCTGTATTTCCTAGTATTTTCATAGTTTTGATTTATATTTAATTATTTAATATAACATACAATGAAAATAGTTACTCATGTGCAGTGCAACTTGAGGCAACGATGCGACTTAATTTTTCTTCTAAAATGTATGAATCAATACCCTAATATCATATTGAGAATGGGACAATTGATTAAAAAAAAAGAGAGAGAGAATGGGACATACATTAGCAATTGATTTTCAAGGTGAAATCTATTTATTTTTCATTTCTTCTTTCTTTTCTTTTTTCATTCATCCATTTTTATCTATACTTTTCCTAGACTCTGTTGTGTTCTATTTCATATTCATGTACCAATAGCATGCTGTTTTACTTAACAAAGTTTTAAGAACATTTTACTATGTTTTTAGACCAAATACTTTACATTTTCTTTCTCTAAATTATCTCACCTATCCTTCAATGGTCTCTTTCATATGAACTTTAGAATTCGTGAACTGAGTTCCCTAGGAAACTTTTGTTTGGGGTTGGCTTGATGTTTTGAATTAATTTGAGTGAACTTAACATCATTTTAATACTGAGTTTTATCACTTAGAAATATGACATGCCTCTCCCTTGATTTAGATCTTTTGTTTTATCCTTGTCTTAGCTTGTGCTCCCTCTAATGCAAATTCTAAGGCATGGACTTGGATGGAAGTTGTTTATTTGAGAGGTGAGCTCTGGAGGAGCGATGGGAAATGAGGAGGAGAGACAAAGAGAGGACAACTGATAGAAGATGTGCTCATGAGTGGCACTTCTGTGGACCTCTGAGCTCAGTCTTACTGGGGGCCTTCTTAGACACCAAGTTGAGCAAAGCTCAGGGCTGTCCCACTGAGAAGGAAGACTACCTGAACTCTCATTCACCAGCTCCTATCCTGAGTCATTTGAGGGTCACTCTTCAGTGTGAAGTGTCCAGCGGTTCCGGCCTGATACCTGCAGGGGCTGATGCTGTCCCCAAGTAGAGAGAGACCACAGGGCAGATAGGAACTGCCATGGGTGTCTCGAGGGTGGGCCAAGGGGCTACAGGTGAGGGACCTACAGCAATCTACCACAGTCACATGTTATAGTTTGTGATTTTCTTCACAGAGGTTTTATAGTAACTGCATTAAGCCAGTGTCTAAGTATTGGTGCCGTTGTGAAGAACATCTTTCTGTTACATCTTTTGAGTAGTGATAGCTGATGTACAGAGATATTCTAACAGTCTTGAAGAATCTGAGCTCTGAAGCTGACTTCCTGGCTTCGTGCAGCAGATGTGCTACTTCCTGGCTTTTAAACTTCTTCTCTTTGCCTGTCTGTGCTTCCATTACAGGTTCTGTAAAATAGGAATAGGAATAGAATCAATCTCGTAAGGTTATTGTCAGAATTCAGTGAGTTTATATAAGTGAAGCAATTTGTAAGTTCTTAACAGTATTGGTGGCTACAAGTGTTATCATTTCTATTACTACTAGTGATAGCAAAAAATAGAAAGCTTATGATTTTTGAAGGTTGGCCAGCTTATATTTTGAACCCCTATAATAGTTCTAATACTTTTTCTCCTGCATTTTCCTTAGATGATCATATCGTCTAGAAAATAGCAGCCAGTTCTAAATCTTCCTTTTCATCACTTTCTCATGTGTCACCTGGTCGACAGTTCCAGGATGATGTTAAATAGTAACAGGGATAATAGTCTTTATTGTCTTGTTTCTGTTTTTGCTGGGAATGCTTCTACTGTTCAACATTAAGTTTGATATTTGCTGTTGGCTTCTGAGAGATATCACTTTATCAGGTTGAGGAAACTGTCTTTTATTCCAAGATTACTGAGTATTTTTATATCATGAGTGAATATGGAATTCTATTAGATGCTTTAATTTTTTAAAAATCATCTTAGATGATCACCTTAGGAAAAGAGTTGGCCTAGTTTCCAGTTAAACACCCACACTGTCTTCTACAGTCATAACCCATTCTATTTTCTGTTATTGCTTCAATGTTTTATTTTGACAGCTTTAGTTACTGTCCTTGCTAATGACGATGGCCCCGGAGTTCTGTCATTCAACAACAGTGAGCACTTTTTTCTGAGAGAACCAACCGCTCTCTATGTCCAGGAGAGTGTGGCAATGTTGTACATCGTTCGGGAACCCACCCAAGGACTGTTTGGAACAGTGACTGTTCAATTCATTGTGACGGAAGTGAATTCTTCAACAGAGTCTAAAGATCTGACTCCTTCCAAAGGCTATATTGTTTTTGAAGAAGGTGTTCGATTCAAGGTACAGTGAGAACCTTTCATGAGAATGGAAGATTATCTTTAAACATTTTTTTCTTACAGGTGTACCCTAGGTCTTTGGAAGAAAAAAAGATCCTCCCAGCTTAGAGGCTAGATTAAGACATGATTGAATCACTATAGGCAAGTGCGATAGTGCTGTAAAATCTATACAAAGTGAACCGGGGAAATTTGCTGGAAATAGGGTAGAGGTATATACAAATAAAATATACATGTTGCTATTTTAAATTTTAAGCACATTTTAAATGCTATACTTCACTTTGTATTGTCTATAAACCATAAGCTACAAGAAATCTTAAGCCATTCTTTCTCAAATTTAATCCCCAACCATTTTCCTTTTGACATATTTTAGTTGAACAAAACGTGACCACTTGCTTCACATTATTGGAAAACAACAATAGCTTATTAGAGAAAAAATGCTGACTTTGAGAATATTTATAAATGTGATCTATACTCACAGTTTACCTTCCCAAACCTCTTTTTCTATATATTAATAACTTTATATTCCTGCGACTGCACTTTATTTTTTAAACACAGTTTAAGTTTAAAATAGCTATTGCATTAGCTTTAAACATTTTTTAAGCCACTGTAGAAAGTATACTAACTATAAAAATAATATTTTTAAAGCCATTTTATCTAAGACAACTTATCCAATGATTAAATAATTTTCTTAATGATCAGTTTGTATAAACTTCAGACATTTGCAAATGCATATTCATTTTCATGTTTTTTAGACTTAAAATGCAAATGCATATTCATTTTTTATGTCTAATTATTCCATGTTTTGGAAACTTAGAATCTTAAATTTGTTTGTTCAAGGACACTAACACTTAAATCTTGACCTGAATATAAAATCTCAAATTTGAAGTATTTTATGAACTTACTATTGCTTTATCTTTTTTCTTCTTTTAATATTTGTCTTGAATTTATTTTTTGTTTGTTTCATATTTTTTATTGTGGCTTTTTTCTTTCTTTTTTTTTTTTTTTTTTTGAGTTGGAGTCTCACTCGGTGGCCAGTCTGGAGTGCAGTGGCTGCTCCCGGGCACCGCCGCCTCAACCTGCCGGGCCCCGGCGATCCTTCCGCCTCAGCCTTCCGAGTAGCTGGAATTACAGGCGCGCACTACCACGCCCAGCTGATTTTTTGATTTATTGTAGAGATGAGGTCTCGCTGCCCAGGCGGGTCTTGAACCCCTGGGTTCAGGCAATCCACTCACCTCAGCCTCCCAAAGGCGCGGGATTACAGGCTAAGCCACCGAGCCCGGCTGGCTTTTTTCTTAAAAGACTTCTTTTCACAGTATGTTTATAGACCTGTTCATTAGGCAAATTAAATGTTAGAGCAAATTGAATTAAATAGATTTTTTTCACTCACATAACTGTTCCACATGTTTTTATTTTGAGGTATAAACAGTAACACACACAAATCTTAAGTGTATCACTTAATGATTTTTTTTTTTTTTGAGTTGGAGTCTCACTCTGCCGCCTAGACTGGAGTGCAGTGGCCACTCCCGGCCACCGCAGCCTCGACCTGCTGGGCTCCGGCGATCCTTCCGCCTCAGCCTTCGGAGAAGCCGAAATTACAGGAGCGCGCTACCACGCCAGTCTAATTTTTTTTTTTTTTTATTGTAGAGATGAGGTCTCGCCTGCCCAGGCGGGTCTCGAACCCTCGGGCTCAGGCAATCCACTCTCCTCAGCCTCCCAAAGGCATGGGATTAAAGATATGTTATCTATACACACGTAACTACCACTCAGATGTAGACATTTAACATTGCCATCCCCAGAAAATCCCCTCTTGTCCCTTGCCCTTCCTGGAGGAAACTGCTTTCTGATTTCTATCATTGAAGACTCATTTTGCTGGTTCTTGAGGTTTCCTATAAATAGAATCATACAGTGTGTACTCTTTGGGTCTGGCTTCTTTCATTAGCATAAGTTTGGTATCAGTGTGGTTGCACGGATCAGTGGTTGGTTCTTTTTTCATCACTGGGGAGCATTTTCTTGAGTAGATCACTAACCATTTGTTTGTCTGTTTTCCTGCTGATGATGTTCCTAATTTGTACCTACTCTGACCATAACTGTTTTTTAACAGTGAATCCTAGACTAGAGTGAGATTAATGGAGTTAATAGCTAGAGCAGGACAAAAAGTCAGCAAAAATAAAGACATAAATTTAATTTTTAAATCAGTGACATTTTAAATTTTTTTATTATAATCAATAGAGAAATATCATGATATAACATAGTGGCAAAATTTGTTTAGAGCCATTACACAGGTAAAATTTCAAAAGTAAGTGAAACATTCTAACATATGTTGAGATACTCATGGGAGAACCTTAAATTAACTGCCAATTTCTAGACCTCTAGAATAAAAGTAAAAAACATCCACCGTGTACAAATACTCTCATTCTCTAATTTTTAAAACAGTGTGATTTTAAAATGCCATTAATATTTATTTTTTGGCATTAAAGTGCATTATATCCTAATGTTGAAAACCCAAAGTAGTAATTTGAGGTAGTTGTAGCCATCACATGAAATTAAAAGGAGGTGACATTTTCCAAAATATAGTATTTTGTTGTCAAAAATATAGTAAGTTTCTCTATATATGTGTTGCAAAAATCCTGTATTCTAGTAACTTTATCTTTTGATTTTGTTTTCAGGCCCTACACATATCTGCCATATTAGACACGGAACCAGAAATGGATGAGCATTTTGTATGCACCTTGTTTAATCCAACTGGAGGTGCTAGACTAGGGGCACATGTGCAAACCCTGATAACAGTTTTGCAAAACCAGGCCCCTTTGGGACTGTTCAGTATCTCTGCAGTTGAAAATAGGTATAATTTGTTCATAAGGAAATTATCACGTCTGAATCTAAGTAGAAAATATTTTTTGACCTAAGAAAATGCAGAAGGAAATTGATCTCTGATTATTGTTAGAGGGATTTTACAATGAACACTAAAAGATAACTTCAAAGAGGCCATTTGCTGTCTCATAACAGAGAGTATCAAAAACCTACACACATCCTGTATCATGGTATTAATGATGTTAGAATTATTACTCTCTCAGAGTTCATACTTTCAGGCAAAGGCCTGTACTATTTTGTGTTTTTAAAAATAACTAAAAGCAAGAAGTTATATATATTATACTTACCTGCTCAAACCAAATGAATGACTCTTCAAACATCCATTAACATGATTGTGGTTTTAAAATTTCCTCTGGAAGCTGACAAATACTTTTTAAAAATATCTTAAAAATATTTCAATAGAATTAACTTCATTAATATGCTGAGAATTTCCTGACCTATTTTTCCCTTTAAAATATTTTTATATATCTGTTAAGAAACTTGAGTTATAGTTTTCTTCTTTAGAATGTATAATATGAAACGACTGAAATAATAGTCAGTATTTTCCTATGATCATAGTATCAGAGTGTTGCATTTGTGCTTTAAAAAAAAAAAAGCTTCATAAATGAATTTTTAAAATTTTAGATTTGGGAGTACAAGTGCATGTTTGTTCTGCGGCCTGTTGTGTGCTGGTGACAATTGGCCTTCAGGTGGCCCATTCCCCAGAGAGTAAACATTGTACCCAATAGGTAGCTTCTGAATCCTCACCTTCCTCTTTGCGTCCCCCTTTTAGTGTCCTCAGTGTCTATTATTTCTACCTTTATGTGCACATAAATGAATATTTTGAGCTCTAGAGTTTATCTTCCTGATGTATAAAATTTGCAGCTCTTACCTTGGGTTGTATAAATTTAAAAGTATATTAAACATATGCTAGCAAGGTGATATATATTTAACATATGTAGAAGCTATACTTTCTCTGCTTTCTACAATTCATTTGTTTCCTTTAGAGCCACCTCCATAGACCTTGAAGAAGCCAACAGGACTGTATATTTAAATGTATCACGTACGAATGGCATGGATTTGACTGTGAGTGTGCAGTGGGACACAGTCTCTGAAACAGCCTTTGGCATGAGTATGTTTCATTTCTTATGAGAATAAAATTCTATAACCAAGAAATATTGTATGTATAAGATTTACATGTTTTCTATGAATTGTGTCTTATGGATCTTTTGACGATGATGAACAGATATCTAATTTTTTTTATCGCCATCTATGAGTATTTATTGAGTACCTGTGGTATGCCAGGCAGAGTATTGAGTTCATGGAACTTAGAATTGGGGAGAGGGTGACAGAAATACATAGTAAGAAAATACAAATAAGTAAAATTCAGTGTGTAGTTTAAACTATAATAAATGTTTTAAAGAGGAAGTGTTGAAAGAACATAGGGAGTGCTTCTGAGGGGTACTGGATTAAGACTGGATGCTGAGTGGAGACTGATTATAGAAAGGATTGAACTGGAAGAACATGGAGGTGACAGTGGGAAGCTGGGAAGGCAGAAACTTGAGGAATAATAAGCGAATAACTTAAGAGTAGGCAGGAGTAGTAAGGAGTGTTGGACCTGGATAGCTGGACAATACAGATCATTCAAGAACTTGAATATTTTCTGGATCCAGTCTTTAGCCTAGGGTTAAAGGAAAGCCTTTGAGTGGTTTAGACATGGAGGAGAGCCACACCTCCTCCCCTCCCCTCCCCTCCTCTCCCTTCCCCTTCTCCTTCCTCTTTCTCTTCCTCTCCTCCTTCCCCTCTCTTCCTTTCTGTATATGATATGGTTTTAATCATGTTTGATGTTGGCAATGTTATTCACAGTGCCCTGTAAAGAATAGGTTGGCACAGATGAGAAGAGAGACACAGGGAGACAAGATGAAGGTAGCTCAGATGAGGTGCTAGAGTGGATATGAAGGTGAGGGAGAGGGAGGTACCAGGGATGACTCCTAGGTTTCTTGCCTGTGCAGTTGGATGGTGCAGTGGGGGTGAGGGGGATTATGACATTAAGGAAGGGAATTCTGAAAAAGGAGGATGTGTTATTTTGGTGAAGGAGTAAAATAAATGTGGCTTAATACATTTCAAGTTTAAGTTAGTTTTGAGAATAGATTTCTCTAGGCTAAAAGGAAGGTTCTGCTGGAAAGAAAAACCTGGGAATCTTTAGCTATGTATATTGTGTTTATGGTCATGGAAATTGGTGTAATAATCTGAAAAGAAAGGCTGAAGACAGAGAAGGGAAAGGGACCCAGACTGAAGTCCAAGAAAGCTCAAATTGAATGACTGGGGATGGACTGATGACAGCACAGAACACTTAGAAGACCTGGAGAGAAACCCAGGAGAATGCAGGATGGCAGACACCAGCATCAGGGTGCTTTAAAATGAAGGGAGAATCAAGCATGGTGTCTCATGCCTGTCATCCCAGCACTTTGGGAAGTGGAGGCAAGAGGATTGCCTGAGCCCAGGAGTTCGAGATTAGCCTGGGCAACTTGGGGAGAACTTGCCTTTACAATTAAAAATAAAATTAAGCCGGGCTCAGTGGCTCAGCCTGTAATCCCGCGTCTTGGGAGGCTGAGGTGAGTGGATTGCCTGAGCCCGCGAATTCGAGACCCGCCTGGGCAACTTGGCGAGACCTCATCTCTACAATAAATCAAAAAATCAGCCGGGCGTGGTAGCGTGCGCCTGTAGTTCCAGCTACTCGGAAGGCTGAGGCAGAAGGATCGCCGGAGCCCAGCAGGTCGAGGCTGCGGTGGCTGGGAGCGGCCACTGCACTCCAGTCTGGGCGACAGAGTGAGACTCCAACTCAAAAAAAAAAAAAAAAAAAATTAGCCAGGTGTGGTGGCACACACCTGTAGTTCCAGTACTTGGAAGGCTGAGATGGAAGGATCGCCTGAGCCCTGGAGGATGAGGCTGTGGTAGCTGTGAGCATGCCACTGCACTCCAACCTGACAGAGTGAGACTCTGACTCAAATAAATAAATAAATAAATAAATAGAGTGAGTGAGTGAATGAATGAATGGAGAGAGGGAGAAGTAAACTGTGTTGACTGCTGATGAGAAGCCCAGTGAAACGAGAACTTGAAAAATGACCATTATAGTTAGCAACACAGGAAGTATTAATGACCATAGCAAGAACGATTTGGATAGGATGGGAAATGAATAGTCTTTGAAATGGAGGTAAGGAATAGAGGCTTCAACTCTCAGATATTTCAAGCAGTTCAGCTGGGAAGGCAGAACCTAGAGATGGCGGTGATGTGGTGTTTGATTCAGAGGGTTTTTTATTTGTTTAGTTTGGAGAGATCCAAGCATATGCATGTTGGTTGCGAAGGATCTAGAAGATAAAGAAAGATAGACTATTTAGAAGAGAAAAGAGATAATTAGTATGACTGGCTAGAACACAGGTAGAGATGGGATTCAAAAAAGAAAGATTATGGCTTCTAATTTAAGAATTCTTTCTTACTGGGCTTTGTCTGTGTTTTCCTGGAAGTAGTTGCAAGAGTGAATGTTGGAGATTCTTAAAACATCAGCAGTCATTGCTTATTCTTCATTCACTGTCTTTGAATTTTGTAGGGAAGCATTTGTGCAATATGTCAGGATCATTAAGGAAAAATCTGGAGTGTACCTTTAAATGAAAAATCTGGGGTGTACCTTTAAAAAGTAGCAGAATAGGAATTTAAAATGTTGGATTTTTAGGAAAGGAAATTGCTAATGGATATTACGTGTAAGGCATTGACATATGACTGCTGGAACTGGTAATCTAAAAATGATCAATCACGTAGAAGGAGCCTGGGTTTTAACCTCAATATTTTTTCTTGCTGCCTATTACACCAAAAAGAACTTAGGTTTTTTTGGGGAAACAGTCGTGTTAGTAGATCATATTTTTTTGGAGTTTTTTTTTTTGTTGCTGTTGTTTGTTTTTTACTAGGTAGGGTTTGCTTCGTTTGTTTTTGTAGTACAGAATTGTTTAATATATACCAGTTAAACCTTGACAGCTATTTGAAATATGTAAGTCTGCATTGACATTCTTAAAATATCTAAAATTTGAAGTGAGAAATTAGATGGACATAATTTAAAATTAATAGTATAAGTTTTTAAAACCTAACAGCATATTTTCATAAAAGACATTATTTAAAAATATCTGAATTATGTTTTTGTGGTCTTTATAAAAGCTGACAAAATCATGTGCAGTGTATTTCCCTTTAAGATAGACATTTAGTCCATATTTTTAAATGCAAAGAAAGTCTTTGTGGGTATAGAACAGAGTATTCACTATTTTTTCTTGTTTTATCATGTTATTTGTAGTTATTTTTAAGTTCTCTGGTTTGTCTCTTCTCTCTCACACTTGTGCACATACACATCATGGAAGGATTTTCATTTGTAGCAACAAACTCACTAATCTCAATGTTTAAACAATCAGAACAGACAAAGTTTGAAAGGGATTACACACTAGTAAATCATAATTATGTTTTTCAGGGGGAATGGATGTTGTGTTTTCCATATTTCAAAGTTTTTTGGATGAATCAGCTTCTGGATGGTGTTTCTTTGCTTTGGAAAATTCAATATATGGTATAATGTTAAGAAAATCATCTTTTACTATTTACCGATGGCAAGGGATTTTTATTCCAGTTAAGGTAAACATTTATTTTACAGTATACAAAAATTAAATATACAGATAAATTTTGGATGCTTTGTAAATTTCTGTTATTCTTATTCCTCATTTTGTAGGATTTAAATATAGAAAATCCTAAAACTTGTGAGGCCTTTAATATTGGTTTTTCCCCCTACTTTGTGATTACTCATGAAGAAAGACATGAAGAAAAGCCTTCTGTTAACAGGGTGTATACATTCACATCTGGATTTAAATTACTCCTGGTAAAAAATTTTTCATTTTTAGTACATTGCTTGACTTAAAAGAAATTAAGATGTGTAAGATTGATTAAAATGGAATATAATGCATTCTCTTGTTAATATGAAAAAGGACTTTATGCAAGTTGATCTACATTTTAGCAAGGTTCTTAATCCAGGGATATTTGTGTTCTTTTTGAAATGACATTTAGGTGTGTATATCTTGGGATCAGAAATGTTTAGGTTTTAAACTTCAAATAGTAACTCATACTAATAGTGTATTCAATGTCTCTCTTAGTAAAAGACTCCAAGTTTTTATTCTGACTCTTCTGTCTTCCTTGCAGGTGCAAACAATCATTATTTCGGAAAGTTCCCAAGTAAAATATTTTACTTCAGATAGTCAAGATTATATAATTGTTGCAAGTCAGAGAGATGATTCCGAATTAACTCAGGTTTGATTCTTTTAGAATGAAGTTTTTTTCTTTTTTACTGTAATTGAAATTTATCAAAGATACAGTCTGTAGGTTTAGTATAAAAGAAAACCATAATTTGATTGTAATAAAGTAGAATGTAAACATTGATATTGCAGTTCATTTTTAAACAACAGAGTTATAAAAATTGTATTGTCTTCAAGAGCCAAAGCAAATGTAATTATAAATGCGAACATTTAATTAGAATTTTACTAAATTGGGAAACATTATGGAAGAAAATCACACAATCAGACACATGGCATCACTAAAAACTCCAGATTAGCCTTGCCAAATGGGCACTTGGCGTCAATCTAGAAATCCCACATTTCTGTAGTCAACTAGATCTTGTCATCCCAGTCACGCTTACTTGATCATTTATGTCACTCCTCAAACTTCTGTACATGTGTCCTTCCCATCTCCTCGTTTTCAGCTAGCAACCTTGTTGAAATGAAAGCTACCAGGACAGAGATAACTCATCTTCCCAGCACCAAATTCAGAAACCCACGTGAAACCCAGTGTGAGGAAGTGTCCCTCCCATGAGCCAGGCTGCTCACGTAGGGACCACTCTTGCCTTTGCAAGATTTAGTTATTCCTCCCATCTCTGGCATTTCTTCCTCTATTGGGTTATTACAGTCCACATAAGTGTTATGGGATCACCTAGCTTAAGAAGAAATTCCTTCTCTGATCTTGTTGACTTCTCATTGCTGCTTCATGTCTTTTCTCTTCTCTATAGTGAGGCATTCTGAAAGTTACCTAGTCCTGTCTCCACTTCCTCGTGGTCACAGATGACAACTGGACTGTCAAATCCAGTGACTGTTTTTCTATCACTATCATATATCCCATCAGCACTTGACAGTCACCTCAGCCTCACATTTAACCCCTTTCTCTCGCTTTCTAACACATCATATAGATTGTGTGTGTGTGTGTGTGTGTGAGTGAGAGAGAGAGAGAGAGAGAGAGAGAGAGAGAGAGAGAGATCCTTCTCCGTTTCTGTTGCCAATTTCTCCTCCCTTTTCTGAACTTAGACAGCTTGGCATTTTCTGGAAGGATTCACTTTTAATTCACATTTCTTTTTTCTTTTCATGCACCCTGGGTAATTTTGTCCACTCCGTGGCTTTAAATATCAGCCACAGGCTAATGTCTTTCAAATTATATCTGTAGCCTTTCCTCTAACTGCCTATTGACATGCCCACTTAAATATATTTTAGGTATACAATATTTAATATATTTCAATCAGAACTTTTGCTTTTCTCTAGGGAACTTGTTACTTCAGTGCTTACTTTCATATCAGGAAATAATCCCACAAATGCAATTGCTTAAGAGAGAATCCTGGGCTACATCATGGCTGATTATTCCTTTTTATTCTTTCACTTGTAATTTATCATTTTGATTGTATGTCTCAGTAAGTACAGACACGTCTTTCCATGGGTGCTTCTTCCTCCTGGCTCCGGGTCCCCATCATTTCTCACTTACACTATTGGTAGCCTCCTCACCAGTCTCTGAACTGCTCTGACCTTCTCAGACCCATTCTCCATTGACTAGCTAGAGTCATCTATTAAAAATATTAATTTACACATATAATTCCTCATTTAAAAACTGTTTGGTGATTTCCAACTATGCTTAGAATAAATCCTAAGTTACTTCATATAGACTGAACGTAGGATAACTCTGTTTCTTCATTTGCCTAGGACAGTATAATTATTAATATTACCCCCGTTGCTCCCAGAAGATCCCTGTTTAGATGACAGATTATATTGGGGTAACCCTAGTGAAAGGTGCTCCATGATCTTACCTCTCCACTCTTTTTAAAATTATTATTTTTTTAAATTTTAAAGATATGGGGGTACAATTCAGGGTTAGGTATACAAATGTTCATTATGCAGGTACCCTTGTTGATGAGGTGTGCCCCTCTCTCCCCTGGCAGTTTCCCTCAACTGCCAGTCCTACCCCCCTCCCCTGGCAGTTTCCTACTACTGCCAATCCCTTTCTTATAGTATTATAATAATTGTTCAAGTTCTGCTTATGAATGAGAACGTATGGTACTCTGTTCTTTGTTTCTGTGGTAGATCGCTGAGTATGATAGACTCTAAATCCATCCAAGTTGCTGCAAAGTCCATATATGTGTTCTTTATGACTGCCTAATATTCCATTATGTATATGTACCACTTTTTTTTTTTTATCCAGTCCAGCTTCAGTGAGCAGCATGGTTAGTTCCATGTTTTTGCTATCGTGAATAGAGCTGCCACAAACATGCGTGTGCAGGTATCTTATTTGTAGAAGGATTTGAGTTCCTCCAGGTATATTCTCAATAGGGGGATTGCCGGGTCATATGGAAGGTCAATTTCTAGTTCTTTCAGAAATCATCACACTGTCTTCCAAAGAGGTTGTACTTGGTTTGCATTCCCACCAACAGTATAGAAGCGTTCCTTTTTCTTCACATCCTCACCAGCATCTGTTGCTGTTTGTTTTATTAATGATGGCCATTCTTACTGGGGTTAAGTTGTATCTCAGTGTGATTTTGATAGGCATTTCTCTGATGATTAGTGAGGCTGATCACTTTTTCATGTGTCTGTTGGTTGCCTGTATGTCTTCTTTTGAGAAGTGTCTCTTCATGTCTTTTGCCCACTTTTTAATGGGGCTGTTTGATTTTTTCCTTTCAGTGCATTTGAGTTCCTTGTAGATCCTAGATGTTAGGACTTTGTCAGATATATAGCTGGCAAATATTTTTCCCCATTCTGTGGGCTGTCTCCCTGCTCTCTTGATAGTTTCTTTTGCTTTGCAGAAGCTCATCAGTTTGATGAGGTCCCACTTGTCTATCTTATTTCTTATGGTATGGGCACTTAGGGTTTTGATCAGGAATTGGTTGCTAGTCCTAATTTCCATAAGGGTGTCTCCTGCATGTTCTAAGATTCTTATAGGTTGCGGTTTTATGTTTAGGTCTTTGATTCATTTAGAGTTAATTTTTGTGTATAGGTAGGGGTCCTGTTTCAATCTTCTGCATGTGATCAGCCAGTTTTCCAGTCTTTTTTTTTTAATGAAACTTTATTTTATTACAGGGATATGGGATACAAGTCAGGATTAGGTACATAAGTAGTCTATGTGCAGGTGAAATTTGAGCCACCAACTGGTCCTCACTTCCCCTGGTTTAGAACCAAGTACCCTTTGTGTTGTTACATGCCCCCACTCCCTGCTTCCCTGGCAGTTTCCCGCAACTACTGATTCCTCACTTGTGCTAATGTGACTAATGTTCAGAACCCACTTATGAGTGAGAACATGCGGTATTCAGTTTTTTGTTTCTGAGATAGATCACTAAGTATTATGGTCTCCAATTCTCTCCAGTGTGCTACAAAGTTCACGATTTTGTTCTTCTTTATGACTGCATAATACTCCATAATGTATATGTCCCACAGTCTTTTGGTCCACTTTCTGTTGGCAGTAGAGTTGCTTCCGTGTTTTTGCTGTTGTGAATAGTGTGGCAATAAACATGCATATGCAAAAATTTAGACCACTTAACAAATCTGTGCAGGATCCAAGCTAATCTTCTCTGTACTGTTCCAATTTTAATATATGTGATGCCATCAGCTTCCTTCCAGTCTTTACTTAGAACATGGCAAACTTTTTCTGTCTTAGGAGCTTTGTCATGTTGTTCCATCCAACTTGATTTCTCTAACACCTTTGTCATTCTCTATCAGGCCATCCTAGTCATCATTTTCAGCACTTCGCATTTCTTTTTTTTTTTTCGTGTCAGAGTCTCACTCTGTTGCCCAGGCTGGAATGCAGTGGCACGCTTATGGCCACCCCAGCATCAACCCACTGGGCTCAGGAGAGCCTTCTGTCTCAGCCTTCCAAGTAGCTGGAACTATAGGCGCATGCTACCACACCCGGCTAATTTTTTGATTTATTGTAGAGATGAGGTCTCACCAAGTTGCCCAGGTTGTTCTCGAACCCGTGGACTCAGGCAGTCCCATCACCTTGGCCTCTCAAAGTGCTTGGATTACAGACTTGAGCCACCGTGCCTGCTCTTGTCTCATTTCTTAATCATACATTTATTCAATTACAGATATGCTTATTGTCTGCCTCTTTCTCATAGTTAATAGAATCTGTAAAGGAAGACGACATTGTATCCATAGTTCCCAGTATAATGCCTGGCTCAGAGTTCTGAATTGTTGACTGAATAAATAGAATTCTTTGTGAAATTGACCAGGTTTGTAAGAAACAAAATAGAGTCTGGAGTTTCTTTTAATTTAAAATATAGGAAAATTTACCCTGAAACCTTGTATGCATTGACTGCCACCATGGGGACAAGAAAGGTTTAGGCATTTCTCTGTATCCCACTGCTTAAACAGTTAGCAATGCTGTTGCAACATTAGAACATTTCTTATTCAGTTCTAAGTTTCTCATATTTAACTTAATTATGAGTTTTGGCTTTCCCTTTTTCTGCTTTCGCCGACTTCTGCCCTGATGTATATTTGATACTGACTTCTTTTCAAATAGCTTGTTTTTCCTTTATTCTGAGCTTGGTGAGAGCACTTGACCCTGCCATGCACGCAATGAGCACACATACGCAGATCCAAAGAGGGAGAGAGCAGCAAGAGAGCTCTGTTTGGGTCCTTTCTCATTTATGAAAGTATCCTTCTAAGTCAATAAAAGGGTCCAGGAAAGTAAACATAGGATCTTGGTTATAGTCCCACAAGTGCTAAACTCCCAGTCTTAAAGGGTTTTGTATTTGAACATTTCCTGTAGGTCTTCAGGTGGAATGGAGGAAACTTCGTGTCGCATCAGAACCTCCCTGTCCGAGGTGTGCTGAGCATGGCTGTGTTCACCAGAGCGGGCTCTGTGTTCTTGGCCATTTCCCAGGCAAACACCAGGCTCAACTCCTTGTTATTCAGATGGTCTGGCAGTGGGTTCATTAACTTTCAAGATGTGCCGGTCAGTGGGACAACGCAAGTTGAGGCTTTGTCTTCAGGCAATGATATTTACTTAGTATTTGCCAAAAATATCTTTCTAGGTGAGAAGATTCAGTGTTTTTAATGCATATATAGTTATTATTGAAATTATAAAACATTCATTTGGTATGTTTTATATGAACATGCTCTTTTAACAATTTTTTTAGCTAATTCATATAATGTTTTTTGATAGATGATAAGTATTAACTGTCAGCTATAAATGGATTTTGGAGAAAAAAATTTAAGCATTATGTCCATAATCTTGTGGTGTTCTGACTACTACTTTGAAGTTACATTAAAATGAAATTTGAAGTGGGAGGTAAAGTTAAAAGAGTTATAAAGATTTTATACCTAAAGTACAAACAAGTAACTTTTTATGTGACTGTACCTGGGCTGTCATGAAAAATTTATTAACAGATAGTGTTTAGCAACTTGTGATAAGACTGTTTTGAAATATTCTGTGAATAGAAATTTCCTTTTTTCTGTTTAGAGGAACTTTTATAGATAAATTCCAACATTCCTAAAAAAAAAAATTTGTCCTTCTTTCTTTAACATTAGATCATAGTTGATGGATGACCACGTGTTTACTTCATATGGTAGATGCAAAAAGACTTTTGAAGTACTTCCTAATAAGATGTGATTTTGCTAAAGTAAATGGATTCCGAGGAAATATAAATTTAATAAGTTAAACTTAGCATTTTTATTATAGTTTTACTGTGCAGTTTTGTTATTTTTTTCCCTGTAACTGTTGCCCATGATTGTAGGAGATCAGAATTCAATTGATATTTTCACCTGGGAGACGGGACAGTCTTCTTTCCGATATTTTCAGTCCCTGGATTTTGCCAGTGTTCACAGGATCCACTCCTTCACACCAGCCTCAGGAATAGGTAAGGACTTCTAAGCTACTAAAGAATCCTAAAGGCAATTTTTAAAGCCAGTGATTTTAGTTTCATTATTTATATTTACCATCATGTTGTCAGACATTGATTTTTCTAATAGGAGTGTAAAATCAAGATATTTACAATAATCCTTCCCATAATTTTTTCAATTCTTTTGAATTTCAATATATATTGTTTATATTTAAATATACCTATATTGTTTCAGTCCTTTGGGGGATTGATACTTTAAATATGGGCACTTTACTTGAAAATAATCAGGATGACTAAAATAAGGGGGAAATATTTGTGAAGAATAAAGATAGTATATCTTTTGTTTAGAGAAAAATGAGTGATATTAAATATGTATTTTTAAAATATGAAAATAGGTGTAGGAGAATAACAAGTATTTGTGTTTAAGACTTTTTTTTAAGTCAGAAAATGACTATGAAAAGTCTGCCAACTTTGTTCATCCTCCCAACCTCTCTTGGTCCTCTGACCTTCAATCCACACACGAGAAACAAGAAATACTTTTAATCACTGTGATTTCAGAAACAAAATGTTAGTGGAACCCAAGGTATCATTTGCTGCCTGGAGGCTGTGGGATTATTCTAGAGTTGGCAAGGAGAAGAAGCTGAGGCTGGTTGACATGGCAAGGACTCCAGGAAGTGGGGTTTGCTCTGTCACTGAGTCTAGTCAGAGCCAGATGCTCTCTCTACAGATAGTCACCGACTTGCCCCTGTCTTCCAACCTGAGCCAGGGTTGAGGAGAGTTCTCGTGCATGGTTGGGCCTCAGCAGGTTGATTGTTCCCTTTGCAGATAATACTGACCTGTCCCTGCCTCTTGGCCTGGGAGCTGTGATTTAAGGAGAGTATCAGGGCTTGACTGGATTGTAGCTCTCTAGCTGGGTCCAAATGGGGTCAGATGCTTTCTCCTCAGATAGCCACCAACTTGTCCCTGCCTTCTGGCCTAGGGAAGGCCTAAGGAGTGCACCAAGTCTTGTCTGAGCTAGATACTGCCTCAGCAGATAATTGCTGACTTGCTCTTATCATCTGACCTGGGGACATTTCAAGGAGATCACCAGGGCTGGGTGTGGAAGCCGGTCAGATCTGTCAACTGTGGTCTCTGGAGAATAGTTCTGTTGGTTAGGCTCTCTCGGAGTGTGCCTCCACTGCCCCATGATCTGTGTAATCGAGCACTGTGAGTCCCTCCCCGTCCTTTGTCTCTCACTGACCTCAGGTGATCTAGCCCTGCTGATCCCACCTATGTTTCCTGTAAAGTAAGACAAGAAAGTGCACCTTGTGATGGGTCCCCGCATGACGGGGAAGCAGAATGTCTGCCTCCAACTCTTTCCTCCTTTTGTAAAAGACATGGGTCCTGGGGATCCTCTGTGTGCTGTGGGACTGTCCCGGCTTAGGGGACAGGCGACATGGTGTAAAAGAAACTTCTTCTCTTACCCTTTATATGTGCAGCTGTTGTTAATCTGTGGTTCAAGGGGATGTGTCAGCCTCACTGCCATATTCTAGAATATTCATGAGGATATTCTCATCTATGGGTAGTGACTAGTTGGATTTCTGTGGGTGAATTCCTATTCCACCATCTTGCTGATGTCACTATTTGCCTCTCTTAAAAAAAAATATTTTTATTTATTTTAAAGTTGTGGGGTACAGCCTGGGCTCGGTGGCTCAGCCTGTAATCCCAACACTTTGGGAGGCCCAGGTGAGTGGATTGCCTAAGCCCACAGGTTCAAGACCAGTCCAGGCAACTTGGCAAGACTTCGTCTCTACAAAAAAAAAATTAGCCGGGTGCAGTAGTTTGTGCCTGTAGTTCTGGCTACTTGGAAGGCTGAAGCAGAAGGATCGCTGGACGATTCCCTGGAGTGCACTCATCATCAAATAGACAGCAGGTCGACATGGGGGTGGCTGTGAGTTGCCACTACACTCCAGCCTGGGTGATGGAGTGAGACTCCAAAACACACACACACACACACACACACACACAAACAGATGTGGGCTACAATTCAGGACTAGGTAGATAAGAAGTCATCATACAGGTTAAGGTTTGGGCCTCCCTTTTTTTTTAAAGGGATTTCAGCAGAGTTTTAATGATTCAGTGTACTTTGCCAATGTATTTGCTTTTGATATTTACACACAACAGATAAACAGATAGGAAAAAGAAGGGATAGCAGTGTATGCTTATTTATAAAATAGAATATTAAGCCTTATAGGGGTTATATTTGTCAAGGTTCCATAGTTAATAAAGATTGGAAGAAAGATTCAGTGTTTCAATTCCATTTGGGCCTAACATTTAAAATCTTTCTAGTACATCATGATGGAAATTTACTCAATAAATCTTATGATAACAAAAACTATAGGACATCCATAGTTTAACTTTACTATGTGCACGTGTGTGTGTGTGTCTATTTGATGATGAGTGCACTCCAGGGAATCACACTTCTAATCTGCTAGCACTGGAGAAGGCTAATTTCTCTGATGACAAATTAGCAACCCATAGGAGAACAAAGATCCAGAGGATAAAATACAGTGTCATGCTCACAACTTTACTTTAAAAATGTTTCTTCTTCTTTTCCAGATTATTTTTTTAATTTTTATTTTAAAGATGTAGGGCGCAATTCAGGGTTATGTATACAAATGGTCATTGTACAGGTAAAGTTTGGGCCTCACTTTGGTCCTCATGTCAATATTGGTTTGAGATCAGGTACCCTTATTGATGAAGGGTGCCCTCCCCCCGCTCCTTCTCCTGCTAGTTTCCCACTACTGCCAGTCTTTTCTTACAGTATTAAGATAATTGCGGACTCATAAGGGTCCACTTATGAGTGAGAACATGTGGTACTCAGTTCTTTGTTTCTGGGATAGATCACTGAGTATTACAGACTCTAAATCCATCCAAGTTTCTGTGAAGTTCATAATTTTGTCCTTCTTTATGGCTGTATAATATCCTATCATGTATATGTACCACATTTTAAAAATCCAGTCAACTTTCAATGGGTAGCACAGTTAGTTCCATATTTTTGCTATTGTGAATAGTGTTCCCATAAACATGCGTGCGCAGGTATCTTTTTTGCAGAATGATTTGAATTTCTCCAGGTATATTCCCAGAAGGGTGATTGCTGGGTCATATGGGAGATTGATTTTTAGATCTTTTAGGAATCGCCATGGTGTTTTCTACAGAGGTTGTACTAATTTACACTCCCACCAACAGTGTAGAATTCTTGCCTTTTCCCCATATCTTCTCCAGCATCTGTTGTTTTTTGAGCTATTGTTGATGACTGTCCTGACTGGAGCTAGGTGTTATCTCAGTGTAGTTTTAATTTGCATTTCTTTGATGATTAGAGAGGCTGAGCATTTTTTCATGTATCTGTTAGCTGCTCGTATGTCTTCTTTTGAGAAGTGTCTATTCATATCTTTTGCCCACTTTTTAATAGGGCTGCTTTTTTTTCTTTTTGGCATATTTGAGTTCCTTATAGATCTTAGATGTTAGGTTTTTGTCAGATATACAGTTGGCAAAGACTTTTTCCCAGTCTGTGGGCTGTCTCCCTGCTCTCTTGATGGTTTCTTTGGCTTTGCAGAAGCTTGCCAGTTTGATGAGGTTCCACTTGTGTATCTTATCTCTTATGGCATGGGCACTTGGGGGTTTTATTAGGAATTGGTTGCCAGTTCCAATTTTCATAAGGGTGTCTCCTGCATTTTCTAGGGTTCTTATAGTTTGGGGTTTTACATGTAGGTTTTTGATCTGTTTACAGTTGATTTTTGTGTACGGTGATACATAGGGGTCTTGTTTTAATCTTCTGCATGTGGTCAGCCATTTTCCCCAGCATCTAGGCTTCCCTTTGGACCCCACTTTACCTGGTCTGAGACCAGGTACCCTTATTGATGTAATATGCCCCCTTATAGATTGTTTATCTCATTGTGTTTTGTCCCCATGTTTTCTCTTCCTTCCTCCTCAGCCCTATGGATTGTCCTTAACACATTCTCCCAGTCCCTGGCCACTTCCTGTCTGGACTAGTACATCACTTCCTAGATTCTACACTCTCTTCACTGTCCCATCAGAGACCTGTGCCTGTCTTTGTTTGGCTCATCCTTCTTTAAGCATCTTCTCTTTATATTCCACCACTCTGGCAGGTCATCAAGTCATCAGTCTATGATGTTACCATATGATGTACAACTTGAGTGATTTTCTTATTCACACAACAAATGCTTTCATAAATAAATTATGTATCTTTTATCCTGCATTTGATTAGTTTTTGTCTACTTTTCCTTTAACTTTTTTACCTTTATTATTTTTATACCTTAAGTTTTCAAGTGGACTGAACTGTATCTCCTTGAGTCACTTATTATTATTCAAAATAGTTGCCTAATGAATGTTTTTAAGGATGATGAGTGCTGCCTGAATGGGCCATTAATTAGAGTTATAGAATTCTCTTTAAAGATTTTTTTAAAATATAATAAGCATACTTTCTAAAAGAATTTGTGAAAAATTCTGCCAGAGGCTTATTAAGGGACCCATTGTGAGGTCTCTTTATTTCTTTTGTTTCTGTGACTTGAGGTTGTAGAAGTATGAAAAGATTGTAGGTAATTATTTAGAATGGCTTATTATAGATCCCCTGAAAGCTGAAATTATGCATTAAATAATGTTCAAGGACTTCCTTATTTTGAATGTGTCAAATATTTTATTAAAATTATGAGATTGGCTCTATGACTGTGAGGATCACATATTTATTCTGGTTAATGACTTGACAGAGATTATTGGGTGGTGACTGAATTCTATAAATGGAAGAGAAAGAATGAATATGACAAAGACTACAAGGACATATAAACTTATCTTTCCCCTTCACTCTTCTCTCCTTTATTAGTTACTAGACACTTTTAAGTGCCAATTATGTGCTGCACACAGTGAAAGACCCTGGGGAAACAAGGGTAAGCAAAACCACGCAGACCCTTGCCCAGAAGAAGTTTAACATGTAGTCGGGAAGAAATATTACATATAATCACACAGATAGTTTCTAAACAGATAACTACTGTGAAAGAATAAAGTACTCTCATAACACAAAATGAGAGAACTTGTCCTGGTCTAAGAGATGCCCAGAAAGCTTGCTGAAGGAAGAAGTATTGAGTTGAGAACTGTAGGTTGAGTAGGAATTGCTGAGGGAAAGGGCAAAGGGAACAGCATGTGCAGAGGTCAGGTGGAGCAGGCAAGCATGTGCTTCTAGGAAAGGACTCGAAAGGGAACAGTGTAACCCAAACGCAGACAGTGAGGCAACAGTGGTACTGGGGGTAACCAAAGATGTATTAGGGCAAAACAGATAGGGACTCAAAGGATTATGGTTCTTCTTCTGCAAGTATTGGGATGCCCTTTATGAGAAGGTGATGAGGAGATGGAGAGAGAGAGAGAAAGAGAGAGAGACAGGCTCTGTGTATGTGTGTCTGTGTGTTGTAAAAGGGGACTTTTGAGGTCATGGTAAAACTTTTAGACAGTAGTAAGAGAGTCTGACACAAGCTAGAGATTCATACTGTAGATTAGTGAGCTTGGAAAGTGGTAGATGATGTAGGTGGAAAGTTGGAGAAATAGATTGATTCAGAAGATGTGTCACATGCAAAATCCCCAGGAGTTGATAGATTAGATATGGGGGTAGGCAAGAGAAAGGATGTCACAGATGAGCTCTAATTTCTGCAATTAGTGGATAGATAGTAGTCAAGTAATTTTGGTGGTTGCTTGGGGGAGAACCAGGCTTTTGGGGTCAGAGATAATGAGTTTGGTTGGAATATGTTAAATTTGAGTCATTCATGTGCAGAGTAAGCATTATTGGTTGGATCCTAAAAGAAAGTCCCAGACTCCCAGGTGCAGTGGCTCACTCCTGTAATCCCAGAACTTTAGGAGGCAGAGGTGAGAGGGTTGTCCGAGTCCAGGGGTTTGAGACCAGCTTGGGCAACTTAATGAGACCTCGTCTCTACAGTAAATCAAAATATTACCTGGGCATGTGATGGCACAAGCCTGTGATTCCAGCTACTTGGAAGACTGAGGCGAAAGAATCATTTGAGCCCAGCAGATTGAGGTTGCAGTGGCCATGAGCATGCTACTCACTCCAACTTGGGCGACAGAGTGAGACCCTAACTCAAAAATAAAAAGAGAGTCCTAGACTGCTGGGATACTGGATGTTCATACATGTGGAATGTCATTTTACTGTACAGGCAGAGATGATCTTGGCTGAGACTGTAGAATCAGCTAAACTTCAGGGATGCTGAGATCTGCCTGAGTTTGTTCTTTACTTAGTTCTTCCAGTTTTACAAGCTTTATGAAAAATATGTGGTCCCTGAAAATGCAAGTTTATTAGTCACATTTTTCTCGATGATCTTAAGCGTATATGCAACAGTTACTAAATTGCAGTAGAACTTGAATTAATTACTATAAACAAACACGATTGGTAGTTCTTGATATGTAAGACTAAGGAAATGGGGTTTCCCGTTGTAATCTGTGGGTTAAAAATTTAGAAGAGATTTATGCTTTCTCATTCTCTCTATCTAATCAGTCTTACTGCTATCTTTATGTTCCAGTGTGCTTCTCTAAGTACTGGAATTTGTGCATGTTTTTCTATGGTTTCCCATTTTTTCTCCCAGTTTTAAGTCTGAAGATTATTTGTGCTATATACAACCTCATAAGCCCCCTTTCTTCCTCATTCATATAGATACAAATTTGTGTCACTGCTTTGAAAATCGGTTTCTTGAAACATTTCAAAAATCATAGGTGAATATACTACAACATTCATAAATTTGTTCATATGCTTTGGCCTAATTAACTACCTTGAGGAATTTATCAAGTAAAGATAATTAACATGAAGAATTCTGTCTCTACTTAATACTGAGAAATTAAATGTAAAACAACATATAGCTAATATAGAGATATTGTTAAATACATTTTGAAATCTGCCTTAAAGCTTACTATCTACACATTAAAATTATAGACTTAAATACTATGTAGAAACATAAAACTCTAGAATGCTATAAATATAGTATTAGATTGTGAATTAATAATTTTTTTATATTCACACTGTTTAGAATTGTGTTAATTGTGAATGCATGTGGATGGTAACTGGAAAGGAAAAACAAACACAAGACATTTAATGGTGGAATTATGAGTATTTTTCACTTTAAAAAATATCCTACTATGCCATCTAATAAATAAACATTGAGACAAATACAAGAGTCCAAAATCGTTTCACCATTCAGGGATATCTTTTGTGTTAGATGGGTGTGGCTACCTCTTCGGGCTGGCTTGATCATTCCGTGGCACTTAACAATTATTATTTATACTTTGTCATTTCAGAAATTGAATCACATTTAGTTACCTCAGAAATCCAAACAGAACTTCCAGAGTTGGAAGGTTTTGCTTTGGCACCATTGCAGGGCGTGTGGGGGTGACAGTTCATATTTCCCTCAAGCTGCCTTTTCTTTTCTTCCTGCAGTCCACATACTTCTTATTGGCCAAGATACATCTGCTCTTTACTGCTGGAATTCGGAGCTGAATCACTTCTCATTTGTTGTGGAAGCACCTCCTGCTTATGAAGTGGCTTCTGTCACAGTGAAGTCCCTGAATTCAAGCAAGAGTTTAATAGCTCTGGCGGCAGCCACTCACTCACATCTGTATGAGCTGGCCTCAGTCTCCAGCCAGTCTGACTTCATTCCTAGGTAGCTTCCACATTTTACACTAAACGTCTGTGCTCAACTTAGTTTTATGTGGCACCTACTTTCAAAGTTTTTACTCAGTGACTGAAAAATATCCAGAATATACGAGCTATTTATCAGCCAGAAATTTGGTTATTAGCCATGTCCCTAATATCTATTCTGCCTAGTTAATCAATATTTTGTGAATATTTTGGATTAAAATTTTACTTATGAAGTGTTGGGATCCTGGCTCAGCATGGTGACTCATGCCTATAATCCCAGCACTTTGGGTGGCTGAGGCAAAAGGGTCATTTGAGGCCAGGAGTTCATGACCAACCTGGGCAACATAGCGAGATGCCCCAACTATTAAAATTTTTTTAAGAATTAGCTGGTTATATAGTGGTTCACGCTTATAGTCCCAGCTACTCAGGAGACTGAGGTGGGAGGATCACTTGAGCTCAGGAGTTGAAGATCCCTCCCCACCTCCCTGGGCAACATAGTGAGATCTCATCTCTTAAAAAAAAAAAAAATCAAAAAATTTGCTGGGTGTGGTGGCATGTGCCTGTAGTCTCAGCTACTCAAGAGACTGAATTGGGAGAACTGCTTGAGCCCAGAAGTTCAAGGTAACAGTGAGCTATGATCGTACCACTTCTTTCAAACCTTTACTATTAATCAACATAATGATAATTTTATAAATAATCTACTATGTGTATATCTTAAATTTGTTGTAGTTGACTTATTTTACATATACTTCTTATGCCAGTTCAGGTGAACTGATATTTGAACCTGGTGACAGAGAAGCTACAATTGTGGTAAATATCCTGGATGATATAGTTCCAGAAGAAGAAGAATATTTCAAAGTTCAGCTTAAAAATCCCAAAGGAGGAGCAGAGATTGGTATTCATGGTTCTGTAACAATAACTATTCTGTCTAATGATGATGCCTATGGAGTTGTTGCATTTGCTCAGGTAAGCACATTGAGAGTCACACCCTTATAAGTCAGAGCGATTTATTTATCATACGATAGATGAGCTGTTATCAGCACTGGGTGAGTCATACTTTGAGAATCTTCAGCCTCTCCCCTTCCTTTTCTCCTACCTCACCTTTGACTCTTCATTCAGAGTTGAATTCCGCTGATGTCTTGTAGTTTGTAGTCTTATACACAGACTCTGTGTGTCAACTTGTCCTGATAGTTTTGTTGTTGTTTTTCTGATTCCTTTTATAGGATTGAATTAGAAATGTTACAAGTTGGTCTTGGTCTAAAGTGTGACTCTACTATTAGCCCTGTTTTAAATAGATTCTAAATACAAATACAAAGGAGAGACCCACCCCCAATGAAATTTTTATATAAAAAATTGTGTATTGGCCAGACATGGTGTCTCAAACCAGTTATCCCAACACTTTGGGAGGCCGAGGTGAGGGAATTGCCTGAGAACAGCCTGGGCAACTTGGTGAGACCTCATCTCTACAATATATCAAAAAATTAGCTGGGCGTGGTAATATGCACCTGTAGTTCCAGCTACTTGGACAGCTGAGGCAGAAGGATCACCTGAGCCCAGCAGGTCGATGCTGGAGTGGCTGTGAGGGTGCCACTGCACTCTAGCCTGGGCGACAGAGTGAGACTCCAACTCAAAAAAAAATTGTGTATTTATTAAGCTTCCAAGTACGCTCTGTTTGATGCATTATACCTATTGAGATGCTTTTTCCCCTGCTCAGAACAGCTTTTGGACTTGTCAGTTTTGATGCCTTTTAGTGCTTCTGCCATTTTTTGTTTCATCTCTTCCATCAGCAAAAAGTTTCCCTTTGAGGACTTTTTTCATCCAGGGAAACAAAAAAAGTCACTTGGAGTGAGATCAGGTGAATAGGGAAGGTAACAGGGATCATGCTGTTTTTGTCAAAAACTGCTGAGCACTCTATGGTGTGGATAGGTGTGCTCATAAATCACCCATCATGAAATGGGCAAACGCATTGAAAGAATCATAAAAACAAAAAAAGATTCACTGAAGCTGAATCTGGATGGAGAGCATCTTCGAGTTCTCAATTTCTGAGCATCGTAGATTTCTCTTTATGAAGCTCACTCCAAAATTGTTTTAGAGACATAAAGTCACTGTTGTTTGATTCTTGCCGATAGATAGTGTCCTGGATTCCATCAATCAGTTCAATAGGATTCCTCAAATACTGTGCTTTTGTGTCTGGACAGTCTTATTCCAAGATCAGATTTAGTAGATAATGAAAATTTCTTGAATATTTTCTGACTGTATCAAGTCTCTGTGTTACTAACCCTCATTAACAGAGGGCCTGGTGCCAGAACGAGCAAGATTTTTTAAAAGGCGTTGTCTTTTGTGAATAAATCATATGCATATTTTAAAATCAAGGCATTTTATTCAGGGATGTTTGATGGCCTTGAGCAAAATCTTATTACCATGTAACATCTGTAGCAACGTGTTAAAGTGCTATGTAAAATATCACTATAGGATAGGATCTCTGCTCAAATTAGCATTCTAAGTAGAAGCTTTCATAAGCTTTAAGAAATTAATGAGGAAGTCTCTTTTCAGATTACCATAGTAAAAAGAAAAATCTTAGTGGAAAGATTTTTAAAAGTCAGTGTAGTCCATATTCTTGCTTTAATGCCGTGGTAAAAATCAGGGGGATTGTAAGAAGATACTTTTTGAAGTATTCATTTTTTGGAACAGTTTACTAAATGGCTGGCAAGAGAGGTTACATGTGTTTGTGAAGAACACGGTAGTTACAAAGAAGCAGAAATTAGTTTGGAACAAAAGCAAGAGGCTAGGAAGCATAGGCTAGTAGGAGAAGAAAGTAAGGAGTTCTATCATAAGGGTAAGGGGTATTTGGGGCAGGAAAACATTTATATAGATCATAAGTAAGGATGAAACCATCAGAGGAAACAGGATAGCCTAGAGAAACAAATTGGAGCATATGAATTTAAGGATAAGAGACCTTTGCAAATAATCAGGAAGAGAGCATCCTAATTCTCTTGACATCGTTATTCTTGGATGGGATAGCGTAAGCCATGTAGGTCAAACTCTTATTTTACAAATAGGAAACAAAGACATAGAGGGATTGCCAGAGGTTCCATAGGATGAAAAGGCTTCCCTGTTGGCCTGACTCTATCCTTTCTGTTCTATAAACTTTTCACGTGCTAGCAATGCTTTTTTTTAAATGATATGCTTTCTGAGTATAAAAGTAATGTATGTTCACTGAACAAAATTTGAAAATTATAGAAACAGAAAGATAAAAATAAGTAATCCTAGAAAATTAGCGTTTTTTGTTTACTTTAACTTAGTTTTTTACTTATTCAAGCATGTATATTTTAAATCATGGTCATTCTGTATTATTGTTGTTTCATTGTCTTTCACCTATTATTCTATGTAGCTTAGTATTGTAAAGTTTGCAAATGCATAATAACATGAAATAAAGAAAAATCTGCTTAGGTAGTTTTAGGTAGCTCCCTATGACTATCCGTGTATTTTTCAGAATTCATTAACTAAGCAAGTGGAAGAAATGGAGCAAGATAGCCTAGTCACTTTGAATGTTGAGCGCTTGAAAGGAACATATGGTCGTATAACCGTAGCATGGGAAGCTGATGGAAGTATTAGCGACATATTTCCTACCTCGGGAGTGGTATGTAATTTACAAAATTGTAAATGACACTTTTAAATTATGGTCACTATTGATGTATGATACCAAACCCTGCCTTATGGATGAAATGTTTGAATTTGACCTTGTCAACACTGGATTCCTACTAATCATCGTAGAAAGAGGGATGCAATTTAAGGTTAGCTTTATTGTTACGATTATTGTTCTTATTTTCCATAAAACCAAAATTATCTGTAAAACAAAGTCTTTCCTTTTGAGGCTCAGCACATCGGTTGGCCAAATTGTGGGCATATACACTATCAGAAAGATAAAAACCAGTAAAACTGAGGACTGAAACGTGGTTTCAAGATTTAGATAAAATAGGGAACAAGCCTGTGTAAAACAGCTGCACTTGTGAAAGAGTAGATCAGAGTTGTAGAGTGATATTATAGGTTGGGTTTCCTGTAAACAGACTCTGAGACTAAGAGTTGTGGACAGGTTTATTAGAGAGATGCAGCTATAAGGATGTGAAAAAGACAAGATGCGCAAAGAAAAGTTGATCCTAGGCTACTGCTGCTGAGGTCGGTCCAGTGGGAGAGGCAGAAGCTGAGCTGGTCTTTGGAGTTGTTCCCAGTTAAGGGCTAAGCTGCTGACATCCCCATTTTAGTAGTCTTCAGACTTCAAACCACCCTTGGGGTGGGGCCTAACCAAGTTTGTTGCAGCTGAGGGTGATTCCCAATGGGAAACAGAGAGGCTGTTGTTCCTAGCAGCGGAGGGATGGGTGTGTCAGCCCTGAGCAGGGATCTGGGCAAAGGATTATGGTAGCCATGAATGGAGAGTAGTATATACTTGGAGCACAGGTTCAAGAATGACCAGGCATGGTGGTTCACACCGTAATCCCAGCACTTTGGGAGGCAGAAATGGAGGCAAAGGCAGAGGTGGAAGAATCGCTTGAGCATAGGCATTCAAGACCAGCCTGGGCAACACAGACCTCGTATCTGCAAAAAGTACACACACACACAAAAGCTGGGCGTTATAGCTTGAGCCCAGAAGGTTGAGGCTGTTGTTCCATTGCACTCCAACCTGGGCAACAGAGTGAGAGCCCAATTAAAAAAAAAAAAAAGAATCAGAATGTACCAAAGAAGTAGATGCCTCATATCGAGGGGGTTCGAGAGCATTTGTTTCCTGATTGTCTCCTTGGCTTGCCTTGGGTTTCAAAGATTACTCTGAGTATTTGGCCCAAATGCTTCTCTGAAGAGTTCTTTTAAAGGAACTCTCATGGACTTGTCTCAAAAAAGGACAGGTATATATCATCATTTACCATTTCTAGGCTCCTGTATCATTTGAAAGGTGATTGAAGCTTCTGTATATTGAGAATGTTGCAGTGAATTCTTTTGCATTTGCCATTTACTTGATCTAAGCTAGCAAAATTATAACTTGTGTCTCTCTGGTTCTATAGGTTTTGAATTATAATACATTTCCCCAATTAACATTTCTTATAGGAACAGGATTACAATGATTTCTAATTTGTGTATAATAGTACCGTAAGCTTAGACTATATTTTGGAAGGATTAACTATTTTATTCGGGGAGCTAGTAAATGTTTTCTTTAAAGGACCATAGAGTAAATATCTTAGTCTTTGTGAGTCGCATGGTCTCTCTCACAATGACTCTACCTTTCCGTACAGTTGTGCTAGACAATACAGGTGATATAAGTAGACAGTACAGGCAGTGATGAATTGGACGAGCTGGGCTGTGTTCCAATAAAACTTCAATTAGGAAAAATGGATTTGGCCAGTGGACAGTAGTTTTTTCTGACCCCTGATTTTATTAGTAAGGCTCATGAATTTATATTCTATAGTGCCTTCTCCGGACGGAGTGATGAGTGTCAGCAAAGCTAGAGACATAGTTTGTGATACTAGTTTGATAAATGTCAATAGCTTGTAGTTACATTGCTAGAGAGGGGTATGAGGAGGGGAACAGTGGGACACGACATTCAAGAAGTGGACAGAAGCTCTTTCAGCAAGGACTTCATATGCCCTTTAGTGAATCTGGACTTGACTCTTTAGACAGGGAGGACACAAGGGAGGAGAGAGATGCTATGATTTACATCTCTCCCCCTCTTTCTCTGGCCACGTCTGTTTTAGTTGATTCCTTGTGAAATGATGCATCCATTCTGAGTTTAGCCAAAGGAAATAACAAGACTGGCAACAGTTTTGTAGGGAAAAAGTTTACATCGGTACACCTCCTTCTTTTATCTTCATGGATCTTTGTGCATGGTATCTAGAACTTAGATTTCCAGAAAGACTATGTACTTCTCCATTATAATGGGATATAGGCTCTAGGAGATGACAGTTTGACTAAATTTTTCATTTTATTAGCTTAAATTTCAGATATGGTTTCTTTTTTCCTAACAACCTTCTACTTTTAATATGGAAGCCATTTGATTGGTAGAATCATTACATTGTTTAAATATTTTTTATCAAATTGTGCCTATGTTGAAAGAAAATCAAACTTTTAATATTCTTACTACACAGTAAGAATTACAAAATGAATAAAATTTTATTTCTTTAAAATTTTAGATTTCATTTACCGAAGGCCAGGCACTGTCCACAATCACTCTGACGGTTCTTGCTGATGATATACCAGAGTTAGCAGAGGTTGTGATTGTGACACTCACCCGTATTACCACAGAAGGGGTGGAAGACCCATCCAAGGGAGCTACTATTGACCAGAAAAGAAACAAGTCTGTGATCACTACTCTGCCCAATGACTCACCCTACGGCTTGGTGGGCTGGCACGCAGGGTCTCTCTTCGTTAAAGTAGTAGAGCCTGAAGGTAAATCTTGTTAAATGTTTTTCATGTTTTAATGAGGAGTTTCTTTGGATAATTCAATTCTAGTGTTTACAAGGAATGTAAATTTCTCTTTTCATGTGTCCTTTTCAGTTTGACATTCATACTCAATCCTTTTTTCTCATCACTAGGTGATTATGTGAAATCACCTAGCAATAATGATGTAGGAAATATTTTTACTTTTTATTTTTTGTTTTTTTTTGAGTTGGAGTCTCACTCTGTCGCCCAGACTGGAGTGCAG